TGGAGGGAGCGCTGCAGGGTAGTAGTAGCGTTAGCCTTTAGTCTTCAGCGCTGGGCGCAGTAGGTAGCTGTAGTCTCCAGCGCTGGGCGCCATAGCTAGGATAGCACTAGAGAGAGAGAGAGATTGGGCGGAGGCCAGAGGTACTTACCTGCAGCGCCGTTGCTCCAGCTTCGTCTTCGAGGTACCTGCAGCACAGCGCCAACATCACAGGTCAGTATCTGGCTCGTAACAGAGAGAGAGAGTTCTTCTTCTTCCTCTTCTCAGTCCACCATCTCCTTCTCCCCCTCTCATCATCTGGCTTCACTGCATCTCCAGACTACGAGAGAAGAGAGAAAGAGCTTGGTGACATCGGATCCAGACTCGACTTTGGGACTTCAGACATTGCAACGAGGGATTATTTGGGACTGTGACAAAGACTTGGTGTTGACGACATTCCCATCTCTCTCCCTCCTTTCGTCTGATTCCCTCCTCTTCGTCTGTGTATGTCTGGACCTGGCGTTTTCTTCCTGTGTACAACGCCAGGCTCCTTGACACCTGGTGATGGATATGATGTATGTTTGGTCTGCGTTCAAACATTGATTGGGCTAGTCATTAGCATTCTAGCATTCTGCTTCGCTATCTGATACTACGTGAATGAGGTCAGTCCCGGTCAGGTCAGGCTTTGTATCTAAGTCTTCCCTGCGCTATTCAGCACCATTTTGTATGTATGAGAATGCACATTGCTTGTTGAGATTCTACTTGCACTGCATTGCCCATTCGGTCCTTTTTATCACATTGCGGATCCTCGGTTTCTATGTACATCGCCCAACTGGCATGTAACACACCTGTTCGCACGCACTCAACTCTGGATCTCCCTGGATATCCCACGCACACAAACTCAGTACTGCACACACACACACACACTGAGCTCTACCTTTATGATACAGCGGCTATGGCGGCTCTACTACTACTGGCTATGGACGATCTATCTCCCTTCAGCCCACTTCAGCCTCGGGGTTCTGCAGACCACCTCGCACAAGACGCCTTGGCAGCGCTTCCGCATGGCTCACGCAGGAATGAATGAATGGCTGGACGTTGCCTCTTGATTTATACTTCTGTAAGTCGCCGATCTGCCCTTTTCCACTGGGCCCATGGTGCACACAGTCCCTCATGGTACTTGCTGACGGTACAAAGTGAGACTGGGACTGGGTACCGCTGACTAAGCGAAGTTGGACTCACCACTTGCCCACTTGCCTCTGGACTGCTGTGAGTAACGTGAGAAAAAAAACTCGAAAGGCCACGTCCAGACCTTCCGGAAATCTGTGGGCTTGCCCTTTCGGGACTGTACCAGCTACGACCTTGACCTTTCAGGACTGTAGCAGCTACGACCTTGACCTTTCAGAATTGCTACAGCTACGGCCTCTACACAACTATGACCCCTACTCGACAGACCTACAGATCGAACCCCTACAACCTACAACAGGCAACAGTCAACTACCAAAACACAGGTCACGTTTCAATTCTATAGAGAAAAGGATAAAAGAAACAGCATACTGCACATAACTCTTCCGTAGACTCCTCAGCAGGGCTAATAGTGTGAAGGCGCCGCCTTGCGGGCCATAGGCCAAGAGGGAAAAGGACAAGAAACAGAGTGATAGAGGGCTGTGGCAGCCTTCCGCCAGACTCTAGCGGGAGGCTGAAAGTGGCCTATCACCAACGTGCCCACACTAGAGGCACATAGTAGCAGTTGATATGACGTGGATAATGTCCGCGCACACAGAGGTGAGGGTCGCCAGCACAAAAATACCAGGTGTTCCCTCTATCGTCCTCCTGACAATAGGCACTGGATACCTCAACACCTCTGTGCATGCGCTTGGGGATGCTGAGCCCTCCAAGTACACTGCACGAGCGTGCAATCGAATCATTCGCTTTCTGCACCTATGATGCGTTCTATTGCCCCCCTGAGTCTAGCTCGAAGGGACCTTGCATGTGCGACGGAGGCAGTGCAATGACCCACACAGTTGCAGTCTGAGAACCCTGCACTGCTCTGAGAAAAAGTGTTCCCTCTATCGTCCTCCCGACAACAAGCACTGGATACCTCAACACGTCTGGGCATGCGCTTGGGGATGCTGAGCCCTCCAAGTACACTGCACGAGCGTGCAATCGCATCATTCGCTCTCTGCACCTATGATGCGTTCTATTGGCCCCCTGAGTCTAGCTCGAAGGGACCTTGCATGTGCGACGGAGGCTGTGCAATGACCCACACAGTTGCAGTCTGAGAACTCTTCACTGCTCTGAGAAAAAGTTCAAGTTGTCATTTTGATCTGATTGCTGAAAATGCTGAATGCTGGATATGAATCTGTTTGCTGTGATTCCTGAATATGTGTGTAACCGTCTGATAACGTATGATTCGGTATGAATGATGTGTGTTTGCCTGCTGAAGTTCTGAGTCCAAGTCCCCCTGTGTGTGCTACCTAGCTCTGTTGATCGTGTTGTGTGTTTGTGCCTCAGACAGGGATGGGATAGAAAAAGGGGTACGTAGGTAGGACCAGTGGCAGGGCCGGGAGGTGGGCACTGACATCAGTGACGGCATAATCACACTTTGGTGGTTGTACTTTTTTTACGCGCGGAACGTGATTGCCATCAGATTCATCCGTATCTGGTTGTATTTGCAGTAAGATACAATCAGGAAAGTAAGAGCCTGAGTGTTCCGTGTTCATTTGCTTTTTTTTTTTTGGCTGTAGCCCACAGGGTCTCATTCATGCATGTGTTTCCACATGGACAGACATTCTTGAGGAAAACCAATAGCTCATTTGCCCTTTTCGGTTGACCCCACCAGATTCTTCCCCCATTGCACTACTGGGCTTTCTCCGAGCCTGCAAAACATAGGACTGAGCCACAAAATTTCTGAAGCTGGTTGTGGCCATGTCCTGGTGGTTAAAGATGGTTCCAGACTCTTGCTCTTTTTCTTCACAGAGTCTTCAAAAAAAAAAAAAAAAAAAAAAAAAAAAACAATAACAACAACAAAAAAAAAAACAGGACCTTAGGGGACTGGCTCTTCTTCTTCACACAGTCTTGTCGTTCAATGCTATCGCTTTCTTCTTTAAAAGGGTGTGGCCTTGAGATATCATCATCGAACTGACCGGCCCTAGGTAATTCACAATTGTAGTATTTTACTCATGGGCATCCAGTGGAATTCGAACTCAGGTCTGTATTACAACAGTTCAGGGGTGTACCAACTGAGCTAGACGTTGGTTCGGTTCATGACAAATATATGGGGCCAGATTTGGACTAGTTGAACCGAGCCTGGCGCACCCCAGTCCGGCCCTGTTGCCCACCTGAACAGGCGGGAATGCGAGAATGCATCATGTGCTCCTAATCTAATTGGCACAAACTTTGCCTTGGGTCTCACCCAAACTCCTTGATAGAGCTGGGTCCTAATTAGACATCACATAGGGTGGGCATTCAACAACCCAGGCACGGGATGGGATAGCCAACTCAACTCACCTCCCGGATGACCCGTTTCTGCTCCTCCCGCCTCTGCGCTGCCACAAGCTCTAAAGCACATTGACAAGGTAACAAAAATAAATCAATCTTCGCAACTCAAATTATTACGCAACAAGTCAAGGCGAAAGCAGAGGCATGAATTGGAAGCTCCAAAAATGCGGCACATTACATATTGGCGTACACAATGTGACACGTAGACAGTCTTTCTGAGTGTGACACACACAACATCAACCATACTCTCTCTCTCTCTCTCTCTCTCTCTCTCTCTCTCTCTCTCTCTCTCTCTCTCTCTCTCTCTCTCTCTCTCTCTCTCTCTCTCTCTCCATTACATACTGACGTACACAGAGTACATGAGGTGACACATAGACACTGCCTTTCTGATAGCGACAGACACAGGGCCAGTTCAGATACTCGCCTGGGCCCGATGAAGTTAGGCACGCCCTAAGTATGCCACGAGATTCCACGTGTTGTCTGCATTCTGTTTGGCTTGTGGCCAGTGCGTGACAACACAGCTGCATTTTCATTGGTCCATGGTCGCTGTGCGGCATGTAGTCCTCCGGGCTCTTGCTGTACACGCGCAGGGCCGTTCCCAATCGTGCCCTGGGGCCCGTTCGGTTGTAAGGCTCAACTCTGCCCAACATGGCTCCACGTGTTTGCTGCATTCTGATTGGCCGGTAGGCCTCCTTCCACGTTGCTATCTGGAAGAGCCTAGAAGACTCACGGCCTTGGTCACACATGCGGTGCGCTGTAACCAACTGGCGCGTGGTAACTGTCTGGCGCCCACCAGGGCTGGCAAAATTTGCAATATTCAGGCCTCTTTGAGGCACAGGGCCCGCCTTCACTTAGGGTGGGCTCAATGCTTGCAGCGGGGGCCTCATACGGGCATATGCCGAGGACTCATCTTCCTTGCAATAAGCGTAGCAAATTCATTGTAATGGTTGGATGAATAGAATTGATTTGCTCCATTTTCACATTACTTTCCATGCCCCAAACATACAAAAAGACCTGTCATGCATGGGTGTAAGCCAATCCTGCTGCTAACGGGACCTCCCTACCGCTGCTTGCGCTATGCCTAGTTGTGTTCGATGAACAAAAGTCGACTTCTTTAGAAACTGAACCCCCTAGCCACCTTGGCGCAGACACCCACAGTGTGAGAAAGACAGGCAAATGTGAAGCAGGGTGTGCTAGACTATTCTGATAACTCACTCACCATCTTCATGGGACCGCAAGCTATCGCTTTCCCACTGGGCCCTTTGTTGTTCCCTGCGCATGTCATCAGATACCAGTCCCTTGTCATCATTGGAATCAGGCTCCCTCAGGCGAGTGGAACCTGTGCCTCTTTCCCTATCTTCCTCGTCAGCATCCCAATCGCTTCTGCGTTGTGGCACTTGATCGTGCAGTCCTTTCTGGAAGAAATCCACACTGTACTTCTCCTCGCCCTCCTCATCTGAGACCTCCCCACGCACTGTAAGCAACATCAATGTCAAAGCATGACAAAACCCATTTAGTTTTGAGAAAAGGGAAAGAAGAAAAACACTTCCCACTTACATTGCTTACATATCCCTACATCTTCTCCCTTCTCCCTCTTGAAGCTCCCCAACCAACCACCCCCCCCACCCTACCCCCCACCCCCCCCGCTGCCGGTATGCCGCCAAAAGTCGGTAAGCACCCAAACACACACACGACGTGTGAATGAGTGCATGCACAGACAGAGCAGGGAACTACAGAAAACCATGGTAAACAAGTATGTAATGAACCCGRCCTCAGAAGCTTGCAATCCAATCATATGTGAGCTCTGAGTTTCCRGGAAAATGGAACGATAACAACCAGGTTGAGATAACAATGATGCCAGGACAAGAAGACTGTCCGAAGAAGAAGAGCGAGACCATGAAATAATCTTGGACCCTACAGACCTGTTCAGACGTCCAGTCTTGACTCGGACTTTGGAAGTATATATGTTTCCATGCTGGATGTTGAACCCCGTGCATTGCGCAAGCAGTAGATGGGACGATATGCTTACAGTGAAAGAAAACTGACAACAAATCCAATCGAAGAGCATAAAACCGAGCATGCGTTCATTGTCATACGTTTACATACCAGCCTTCAATCACGACAGGGAAGGGACACACAGACAGGATGGAGAACCCACAAAACAAAGGCGACTTCACCTTCCTCCCACTGCTCGAACAAGAACACGAAGTTGGGAGTACACCAAGTCTGTGGGGGTGGGAGGCATAAGTCCGCAGCATCAAGAGGGATAGCCGATAGAGAGGAGAGCCAAATATGGAAGCAAACAGCAGGAAGGTGGGGCTCAAAATCAGATCCCTCCCAAAGCACAGACGAAATGCCTCGTCTACAGTGGCTTAGCCCCCAGGACTCCAGGAGCCTATGAAAAATTCCTAGAAATCAAAGTCACAGCAGAAGGGGTTACCTATTTGCCTTGAGAATGGGTAAGAGCACTGGTGCTCAACTCCTTGGTGTTTTCAATGGCCTGGTCAATCCTTAACAATGGGCACCTCCACCCAAGCGTACAATGACAGTCGATCAACGGTCAGTGGAAATGATGAGGCTACAGCCATTCGACGCTGTACGGTTTGTGATACAATTGTTAAAGAGGTTGGGCGATAATTGCGCTAGGCGAAGAGCGTAGAACGCCGCCACACTCCCGCACAGAAGAGTGCAGAACTGGTAAAAAAAAAAGAGTTCGGAATTGGTTTGTTCGACTTTGTTGTGGGCTTGCCGCGTTTGTGCATTAGCTTTTGCTGTACCTTGAGTAGTGTCACTTGTTTCGGCTTTTGGTAAGAGAAAGTGGGGAGAGGGGGGAGGGGGGGGGGGGGGAGAAGGGGGGGGAAGGGTGAACACCTCTATAATGGGTAGAGCACTGGTGCTAAAATCGCCGGTGTTTTCAATGGCCTGGTATCTGGCTTCGGTATGGAATTCCCCCAAGCTGTGCACAGAAGCACTGAAACGAAATGGGAGGGCATACCGAACTGACTACATCACTGAAGTAGCATGGAAACACACAGCCAGAGCAGCCAATCAAAAAGGTCTGGGACTGATAAACCCAGTCATACAATATGGAATCCTGCAGATCAAACTGAAAGTGTGTCACAGCCACAGTTTCCCCTTTTTTCTTTTTTTTCCGGACGTCTGGAATTTTCTAGACGTCAGTGCGGCCAGATGTCTCACTGTGTCCAGGTGCGGGTCCGGCGTATACCACACCCCCCCTCTTTTTCAGCAAACCCCCTATTCTACGCGAAAAGAGATGCCTCTGCTCCCCAACCCCCCACCGACCCCCCCTGCCCCGTCTTTTTACAGCTTCGAAGTTCGAACACAATACTCTACCAAGCCTGAACCGACACTCTACTCAGCCTCCGYGCACRCCAGAGGTTGGGAAAAAACACCRGAGCTACGAACAAGAATTGGTCACCTTAAAAAAATRTAATTAAAAAAWAAATAAAWAAAATTGGTCAMCTTRCAAACAGAAAAATAGAGGAGAACAGATGCAGGGCACTAAAGCACCTCCTAGCAAAACATTGGGCAACCTCACTAAGCACATGGAGAGAAGCTTTCCCAGAAAGAATCAGAACACCAAAGAGGAAAGAAGAAGTCCTCAGGCAGCCTCTTTTTGGTACCTCACTGATGACAGATCCAAACGAAAAACCATGGGCGCTAAAAAGTTAAAACAGACGTTGGATGAGGTGCATTGAGAAGGGCATATATCGAAATGAGAGCGCCTCTGAAAGGAGCAGGAAAACCTATGCAACCGTAACTGAGCTGAGAAATTGACTCAAAGGCTGTCACAATCTTGAGCCTGTAATGCAATTTTGTGTGCGTCCATTACCGCCCAGGGCCGGTGGCCAACTACTTTTCGATGATCCGCGGTTTTAGGATAATGTGAAAACAATGGATTTGCAAAAATTGTGGCAAAGTACAGCAATGAAGAACAGAGGAGGCCATTCGATAACACCAGGTCACGCACTCAATAATGCCCAAGACTTCGTCGACAGCCGCTCAGATTACGGGGCAGCGGGGCATGCCGTCAACGGCATTGTACAACTGCCATGATTTCGGCAAAGCCCGGGCAATTACCAGGCCCATACAACGCCCCTGCCTGACGGTTTTCTGGCTATTCAAAATAGCCACGATTTCACTATGATGGGGTTTTGGTTCGGACGAAGGGGCTCACCCCTGAGTCTAAAGAAAAGCACCCAACAAATTGAATTTGGAGTTTGGAAAATTGCTGAATGAATGAATCAATCGCTGAATTGATGACAAAAAAAAAAAAACACATCAAAGATCCTTCAAGAAGTTGTTCGCCACACCTTTCTTCTTCCTACAAGATGGTAACCCCTATATACATCTAACAAGCACTCGCTCCCAGTGCAAGCTCATAAAAAGCTATGGAACACAGACCTGAAGAAATTGAAACACTAGTGGTTGTGACCAAGGCAGATCCAACAGATCTGGACACTTCTTCAT